TTTGAGAGAGTGCAAGCAAGTGGGGGAGGGGCAGAGAGAAAGAGGGATAGAGAGAATCTCAAGCAGGCTCCGTAACGTCAGCACAGAGCTAGATGCAGGGCTCAATCCCATGAACCGTGAGATCATGATCTGAGCTGAAATCAAGTCGAGCACTTAAATGGCTGAGCCACCCAGGTGCCCCAGAGTACAGGTCTTTCCTCTCCTTGGTTAAGTTTATTCCTAGGTATTTTATTATTCTTGGTGCAATTGTAAATGGGATTGTTTTCTTAATTCCTCTTTCTGCTGCTTCATTATTAGTGTGTAGAAAAGCAACAGATTTCTGTATATTGATTTTGTATCTTGAGATGTTACTGAATTCATTTATCAGTTCTAGCAGTTTTTTGGTGGCATTTTTATGGTTTCTACACATGGTACCTTCTCATCTGCAAATAGTGTCAGTTTTACTCTTCCTTAACAATTTTGATGCCTTTTATTTCTTTTTCTTATTTGATTGCTGTGGCTAGGACTTCCAAGACTATGTTGAGTAAAAGTGGTGAGAGTGGGCATCCTTGTGTTGTTCCTGACCTTAGAAGAAAAGCCCTCAGTTTTTCACCATTGAGTATAATTTTAGTGTAATTTTCACATATGGCCTTTATTATTTTGAGGTATATTCCCTCTAAACCTACTTTGTTGAGAGCTTTTATCATGAATGGATGTTGTACTTTGTAGAATACTTCTGCATCTATTGAAATGATCATACGGTTTTTATCCTTTCCCTTGTTGATGTGATGTCACATTGATTTATGAATATTGAATCATGTTTACATCCCAGGAATAAATCCCACTTGATCATCGTGAATGATTTTTTTTATGTATTGTTGGATTCAGGTTGCTAATATTTAGTTGAGGAATTTGCGTCTATGTTCATTAGAGATATTGGCCTATAGTTCTCTTTTATAGTATTTTTGTCTGGTTTTGGTAACATGGTAATGTAGGCCCACATAATTAATTTGGAAGTTTTCTTTAATATTATTTGGAATAGTTTGAGAAGAATAGATAGTAATTCTTTAAATGTTTGGTAGAATTCATGTGTGAAGCCCTCTGGTCCTGGACTTCTGTTTGTTGGGACTTTTTGGATTACTGATTCAATTTCCTTGCTGATAATTAGTCTGTTCAATTTTCTATTTTCTGCTGATTCAGTTTTGGGAGGTTATATGTTTCTAGGAATTTATACATTTCTTCTAGTTGTCTAATTTTTTGGCATATATTTTTTATAATATTCTCTTATAATCCTTTGTGTTTCTGTGGTGTTGGTTGTTATTTCTTTTTCATTTCTGATTTATTTTAACAATTATTCATTTTTGAGAGACAGAGACAGAGTTCATGTGTGGGGAGGGGCAGAGAAAGAGGGAGACACAGAATCTGAAGCAGGCACCAGGCTCTGAGCTATCAACACAGAGCCCAATGTGGGGCTTGAACCCACGAACTGTGAGATCATGACCTGAGCTGAAGTCGAATGCTCAACCGACTGAGCCACCCAGGTGCCCCCTGATTTTTTTATTTGAGCTCTCCTGCCATTTTTTTTTCTGAGTCTGGGTAAAGGTTTCATCAATTCTGCTGATTTTTTCAAAGGACCAGCTCCTGGTTTCATTGATTTGTTCCATTATTTCTTTAGTTTCTATTTTGTTTGTTTCTGTTCTAATCTGTATTATTTCCTTCTTTCTACAGGTTTTATTTGTTGTTCTTTTTCTAGCTCCCATAGGTATAAGTTTAGGTTGTTTATTTGAGATTTTTCTTGCCTCTTGAGGTAGGCCTGTATATTTATAAAATTCCCTCTTAGAACAGCTTTTGCTGCATCCCAAAGATTTTGGATGTTGTGTTTTCATTTTCATTTGTCTCCATGTATTTTTTGATTTTCTATAGATTTCTTGGTTGACCCACTCATTGTTTAGTACCATGTTATTTAACCTCCATATATTTGCGTTCTGTCCAGATTTTTTTCTTGTGATTGATTTCTAGTTTCATAGTGTTGTGGTTAAAAAAATATGTATGGTATGTCTTCGATCATTTTGAATTTGTTGAGCCTTGTTTGGGGCTTAATCTGTTTTGGAGAATGTTTTTATGTGCACTTGAAAAGAATGTGTATTCTGCTGTTTTAGAATGGAATGTTCTGAATATATCTGTTAGATCCATCTGGTCCAATGTGTTGTTCAAAGCCACTATTTCCTTGTTGATTTTCTGTTCAGATGATCTATCCATTGATGTAAGTGGGTGCTAAAGTCCCCTGTATTATTGTATTACTATTTATTACTTCCTTTATGTTTGTTATTAGCTGCTTTATGTATTTGGGTTCTCCCATGTTGGGTGCATAAATAGGTACAATTTTGCACATATTTGGATGTTTCCAAACATCTTGTTGGATGTTCCCCTTATTATTATATAGTGTCCTTTTTTAAAATGTTTATTTTTGAGAGAGAGAGAGAGACAGAGACAGAGCAGGAGCGGGGAGGGGAAGAGAGAGACAGAGACAGAATCTGAGGCTCCAGGCTCTGAGCTGTCAGCATAGAGCCCAGTGCGGGGCTTGAACTCTAAAGCTGAGATCATGACCTGAGCTGAAGTTGGACACTTAACTGATTGAGCCACAGAGGTGCCTCTATAGTGTGCTTCTTTGTCCCTTGTTATAGTCTTTGTTTTAATGTCTATTTTGTCCAATATAAGTATTGCTATCCTGGCTTTCTTTTACTTCCATTTGCATGGTAAATGTTTTCTCATCCCTTTACTTTCAATCTGCATGTGTCTTTAGGTCTAAAATGAGTCTCTTGTAAGCAGCATATAGATGAGTCTTCCTTTTTAAAAAATCTATTCCATCATCCTATGTCTTTTAATTAGAGTGTTTAGTCCATTTACATTCGAATTAATTATTGATAGGAAAGAATTTATTGTCATTTTGTTACCTGTTCTATGCTTGTTTTTGCAGTTCTTCTCTGTTCCTTCTTGTGGTCTCTTCTCTCATGGTTTTGTTTGGTTTCTTTAGTGATATACTTAGATTCCTTTCTTTTTATTTGTTGCATATCTATTACTGGCTTTTGATTTGTGGTTACCATTAGGTCTGTAAGTAACATCTTCTGCATATGGTAGTCTATACTAAATTGATGGTTGCTTAAGTTTGAATTCATTCTTTGCTCTTCTCCCTGCATGTTTTAGATACATGGTGTCATAGTTTACATCCTCTTATTCTTATTACATCCTCTTATGTGAATCCCTTGACTGGTTTTTATAGCTATACTTAATTTTACTGCTTCTGTGCTTCCTATTTTTCTTACTCCTACTTATGGTCTTTCCTTTCCACTCAAAGAGTCCACTTTAACATTTCTTGTAAGGCTGCATTAGTGGTGATAAATTCCTTAACTTTTGTTTGTCTGGGAAACTATCTCTCCTCCTATTTTGAAGGAGTCTTGCACCTTGCTGGAGAGAGCATTCTTATTTGCAGGTTTTTTCTTTCAGCACTTTGAATGTATCATGCCACTCCCTTCTGCCTGCAGAATCAGTTTCTGATTTCTGAAAAATCAGGGGATAGAGTTATGGGGTTTCCTTTGTATGTAACTATTTTCTATTCTCTTGTTACTCAAATTTTTAAAAAATGTTTATCTATTTTTGAAAGAAAGAGACAGAGTGTGAGCAGGGGAGGGGCAGAGAGAGAGAGAGAGAGAGAGAGAGAGAGAGAGAGAGAGAGAATCTGAAGCAGGTTCCAGGCTCTGAGCTGTCAGCACAGAGTCTGATGTGGGGCCCAAACCCACAAACCACAAGATCATGACCAGAGCTGAAGTCGGACGCTAACTGACTGAGTCACCCAGATGCCCCTCTCTTGTTGCTTTTAAAATTCCTTATCACTACTTTTGGCTGTTTTAATTACTGTGTGTCTTTATGTGGACCTCCTTGGATGATTTTTTGAGGGGCTCCTGCCTCCTGGTTCTGGATTTGTTTCCTTCCCCAGATTCAGGAAGTTTTCACCTATTAGTTCTTCAAGTAAATTTTCTGCCCCCTTTTCTCTCTCTTCTGTGTATCCCTATAATGTGAGTGTTATTATGCTTGATAGTGTTGCTAAGTTCTCTTAGTCTGTTTTTGTTTTTTGTTATTATTCTCTCTCCTGTCCAGCATGATTGCTTTCTATTACTTTGTCCTTCAGGTTGCTGATCTGTTCTTCTGCTTCCTCTAGTCTACTGTTTATTCTATCCAGTATAGTTTTAACTGATTTCTTGATCTCTGATTGGTTCTTTTTTGTTTTCTATCTCTTTGTTGTGTTTTCTATCTCTTTGTCAATGGTCTCACTGATGTCCTCCACTCTTTTCTCAAGTTCATGGAGTATCTCTATGAACATTACTTTACATTCTCTATCGGGCATATAACTTATCTCTGTTTCATTTAGCTCTTTTGCTATGAATTTTTTCCATTTTTTCATTTGCAACATGTTTCTCTGTTTCCTCATTTTGTCTACCTCTGTGTTTGTATGTGTTAGGAATATTAGCTACATTGGGAGCACCTGGGTGGTGGAATCAGTTAAGCATTTGACTCTTGATTTTGGCTCAAGTCAGGATCTCATTGTTCATGGGATTGAGTCCCACATCAGGCTCTGTGCTGACAGTACAGAGCCTACTTGGGAGTCTCTATCTCCCTCTTTCTCTCTGTCCCTCCCCTGCTTGTGTTCTCTCTTTCTCTCCCCAAAACAAATAAACATTAAAAAAAGAGGACTGTCAGCTACATCTCCTGCTCTTGAAAATAGTGGCCTTATGAAGAAAAGGAGCTATAGTGCCCTGCAGTGCAATGTCTCCTGTTTGTCAGAGCCTGGTGCTCCAGGTGTATCTTCCATATGTGTTGTGTGTGACTTGCTATTGTGGCTGAGCCACCTTTCCTTTCAGTCCAGTCATCTGTAATAGTTCACTTTGCCTCTTGTGGTTAGGGTTTGGTCTTTGTGTTGTTAGTGGGCCAGTCTGGTGCCACCTTGTACTTGAGTTGAGTCATACCTGGTATTTGCCAGAGATGTAGTAGCACCGAATTCCAGGGTGCTTTCCCTGCATTTTCCCCTGAAAAGCTTTTGTTTGTGGACAGGGCCTATAGTCAGACCAGATGCCTGCCCCCAGCTCACTGGTGGGGCCATAGTTGAACTAGTATGTATGGTTACTTTCCCCTATCCCTGGGACAGTAGTCATTGTGGAGTAGTGCTGGACCCTGTCAGGACTGCTTTCACACGGCCAGGCTTGTGGCATCACTTTGGATGGGCTCAGACCAAGAAAATATTGGTGGGGCAGGTCTGTAGAGAGGTCTGTGGGGGGTGGGGCACAAGGTGCTAAGGTCTGCACTGGTCCACTGCAGAAAGTGACATGCAGCTGCCTGGGAAAATCCCTGCTCAGGCATGGATGGAGGGGACAGATCACTGAAGCTCATGGGGGCAGGGCCCATTGTTATTTAGCAAGCTAGGTGGAGAGTGTTGGTGCTACACTGGTTCTTGCACATGTCCATGTATCTATGCTGGGAGGCAGAGGAGGGGAGTGGTGCCTGTCAGCTTTTATTCTTGGAGAAGTCTCCCAAAGATCTCTGTCCCTCCAGCACATGCTCTGAGATTAGTAAGTAAGTCTTCTATGTATCTCACGCTTTTTTCAAACTGCTGCTTCTATGCTGTATCTCAGAAGGGCTGTTTATTATGCTGTCTCTTTATGGGTGGGAACTCTATCCTCTTGGCTCTCCAAGAAATTTCCAGGTATTAAGCTGCACTGATTGTTAGGCCCCTCTGTTTTTCAGAGCCAGATGTTACAGGGTTTTTTCTTCCCTCTGCAGATACCCTGTACCTGGGATGCCTTTTGTGGGGTCTGGTCCTCTCCCGTTTCTGTGCCTGCCATGTCCCTCTCCCCCATGGGCAGTCCCACATGTTTGTTTGACTCCCAAACATGTCTCTGCCCTTCCTACCCTGTTCACTGTGGCTTCTTGTCTATATTTAGCTGTGGAAAGCCTGTTCTGCCAGTGTTTGGGTCATTTTCTGGGTTATTTATGTGGATGTGGTGTTATCTAGTTGTATCTGTGGCAATAGGTGAGCTTAGAATTCTCCAACTCTGCCATCTTTCCCGGAAGTTCTCTGCTTACTTGTTTTTAAAGAATGTCTAGATCTAGCATCTCAGAATATTAGCTTTCTGGATTCTCATCAGTGAGCACAAGGTGGCAGAGTCTTCCACTCAACACCTCCCCAAGGCCAGGTTGGGGAGTAATATTTGGGGAGGTGTGTTTGAAGGATATTTGTTTCAGTTACTCTTCCAGTTACTTTAATTTTTTAAAAATGTTTATTTATTTTTGAGAGAGAGAGAGAGAGACAGAGAATGAGTGGGGAGGGGCAGAGAGAGAAGGGGGAGACACAGAATCCAAGCAGGCTCCAGGCTCTGAGCTGTCAGTACAGAGCCCGATGAGGGGCTTGAACTCATGAACATGAGATTATGACCTGATCAGAAGCTCGACCAACTGAGCCACCCAGGCACCTCATTCTTCCAGTTACTTTAATTTCTGTCCTTGGAATAAGCTGACAAAATTACGGGAATTGTGTTATCTTAGCCATTCTCAAAACTGCCTTTGCTAAGTGTTTTTAGCATTATGGCTTCCACTTTAGCAAACTGCTGATGAGAATCAGCATCTCTTATTGCAATTACTTTAGGAATTTTTAAAGGACCTTATCTTTTCCTTTCATCACTCAGTGAGACATTTTTTGAACAACTCATTGCTACATAAAACTTTAGTTCCATGTCTCTCCCATGGAGCTGATGTGTTCTTTCCTGTCTGATAATGCGAATTGTGGAACAGGTTGTGTTTCCCCTTATCTGTGTTTTTATCATTCTCTGGTCTTGACTTTCCACTGTATCTTAAAATTGTGATAATGTCTTTGACAAAATGTGAATTCAGATAGAACTCAATTGGCAAGTGGCTTCCATCCTTCACCTGGCCACAATTTTTAACCAGGAACCAGTTAATGGTATTATCTCCTGCAGGGTAAAGTGTCAGAAAATGACTTTGTGATTATTTGGGGCCTTCTCAATTCAGTGTATGATGCACATTTTGTAATAATTGGTCTGTTTCTTACACATCTAATAAATGAAAACAAATAAATTAAACACATGGTAATTGGAAGATTAATTGAAAAGGGTTGTTTCCTTTTACATTGCAGTAATGTGACTATGAATTTTATGTGATGGAATTTTAGGGATTGCATTTATAGAGAGGATTTTTATCTTCCTTTATTACTAAATCTCTAATTCTATTGGGTCTCAACAAAAAGTATATACTATTTATTAGTGAGCTACACACATTTTATATTGTGCACTGTACTAAGTGTTTTTATTATAAGATACCTCAAAGCTATTATAGAACAAGGCAAGTTATATACACATGAATGTGAAAATAAAGTAAAATAAAAAGACTTATTTGAATGGGATTTGTCTATTCTGAATATAATATATTCAGTTTCCATATTATTTCCATAAAGGAGAACCATCTTATTTTTTCTCCTTTAAGATTTCTTTGAAGATATATGAAATAGCATTATTACATGTACTGGGTAGTACTCTGAAATTTATGGCTACCTAGAACCTCAGAAGATGATCTTATTTGGAAGTAGGGTCTTTACACATGTAATTAGTTAAGATGAGGGCATACTAGGGCCCATACTAGTTGGCCCTAAATCCAATAACTGGTATCTTTTTAAGAAAGCCAATAGGGGTTCCTGGGTGGCTCCATTGGATGAGTGTCTGACGCTTGATTTTGGTGCAGGTCATGATCCCAGGGTTGTGGGACCAGGCCTTGTGTAGGGCTCCATGCAGAGCGTGGAATCTGTTTAGGATACTCTGTCTCTGTTTCTGTCTCTGTTTCTCTCCCCCACTGCCCATGTCTCCTGCTTGCTCTCTCTCTCTAAAAATAAAATAAATCTTAAAAAAAAACCCTGTAAAGACACAGAAAGACACATAGAAAGCCATGTGATGATGGAGGCAGAGATTGAAATGGTGCAGCTAGAAGCCAAGGATTGCTAGATACTACTAGAAACTGAGAAAGAGACAAGGAAAAGATTCCCTTTCAGAACCTCCAGAAGAAGCTGACCCTCTTTACATCTTGACTTCAGACTCTGTCTTGAATTGTGTAAATTCACAGTATTTTTAAATGATTTTAAAAAGTGATACTGAAAATAAGTATGTACAAATGATATGTAAATAAACATATGTACATATGTTTATTTACATACAAACATACAAACATTTACAAACATATGTAAATGATATGTAAATAAACATATCATTTGTACAATCACAGGATGTGTAAATCCTGTGAATTTCTGTTGTATTAAGCCACCCAGATTTTGGTAATTTGTTAATTATTGAAAATATAAATTGAGCATCTAGTTGGTACTCCATAAATAACTGCCAGTTGATATCCTTCATAAAGGAAAATTAATTAAGACTATAATAACTGAACAAGAGAGGCACTTGTACAAAATTTTAAACAAAACACTTTATGATGCAGAAAAGCCTCTTTTTCTCTTTCTCTCTTTCAAAAACACTATAGTTTAATATAAAATGCCTACTACAATTGCATTTTGAAAAATTTGATCTCATTAATATTATATAATATGAATTATAGTCAAAGAAACAGACATAAATGAAGGGGATCAAATTTCATGCTTCAGGATGATGTTACCCACAGATAACATAAAGATTTTATCATTTACCTTCTGTTACCAGCCACAGGTGGCTCAGTACACCCATTACATTGGGTTTCATTAATTTGACCACTCTTGGAAAGATATTGATAAGACAAACTATATTTGCAACACTTATGAGAAAAAAAATGATGTGATATATTTCCTTGATTGATGAACAGTTTATTGTAGGACATAGAGAAAAAATGTAAAAAGGAATGATAAATAAAAGAGGAATGGTGAAAATTGTTTGTTTTTCTCACCCAAGTGTTTCCAGGTGATGAATGCATTTTATCCAGAATGGATTTATATACTTTGTATATTCACAGTTAAATATGTCACTGAGTCTGGGGGAAAATATTAATTGAATGAACTATAGAAAAATGCTTACAACATGGTTCATAAAGGCATTCTTAAGCTATCATTCTGATGTTCTATCACCCTCTACTGATCAGTGAGCCAAATTACATTCAGCTGTTTTCCTTGGCCAAAGAGGATTCTTGTTTGAAGACCAAAAAATGTATTTTTGTTTATTTGCTAAATCTACAAAATCTGATGATGAATTTTAAAAAATCATACTGAAAATAAGTATGTGCAAATGATATGTTTATGTTTCTCTCTACTATTAGTCAGCAAGCTCCTCAGTAAAAGTTAGACACTTACTTATATTTGTTTCTCTAGCAGCCAGCCTACTGCTTAGCACAGTAGGATAAATAAAATGTTGAAGCAATTTTTGCAATTATAGTAGTCTTTATTTTTCATTACTTTATAAAGTTCTTTGTCTCATAAATATAATTACTATGTGGATTTATGTAACAGTGAAACATATTTTGAATGTATTGGTTTCATATAAAATGCTGAAGCTACTTTAACTTCTGTATGTTTTTAACAGTTTCAATCCCATGTTCATAGTCATCTTGATTGTGATTTAATCTGGGCATTTTTCTGGTTACATGTTATTCTGATTATCTCTACATTATTAATTGAGGATTTTTATTGTTTATATTTAGGATCAGCTGGGGGGTGAGAGATGCAGGAGACCAGAAATAATTGTCGCTTATGGTCTGTGTTTATTTCTGTTTCATATAAACATGGTCCAGAGGCTGACATGGTGGCTCTGTAGTCATCAGGATCCTGGTTCTCTCTGTCTTACTGCTCCATTATGCATGTGCTGCATGTGCTGAGTGGAATAAATAGATGCAGAGCCTTTGAGAGAGTAGACCAGAATAAAGTCCATGTCACAGCACAGTGGAAGTTGGTGAATTGGTAGTTCTCACCAAAGGTGCTGATGTAACGGGCTTGGTCCATTATAACTATATGAGATTGGTGTGCCCAATTCTGGGTTATGTGATG